CATGTAGAACCTCTAGTGATAGGGTGAGGTCATCTATGATGTAAGCAGGTACATGTAGAACCTCTAGTGATAGGGTGAGGTCATCTATGATGTGAGGAGGTAGATGTAGACCCTCTAGTGATAGGATGTGACCACCTTTGGTATAAAAAGGTAGATATAAACCCATTAGTCTATGTTTGGTTTAGTGATAGAGGTGGTTGGTTTTGCTATCAAAAGGTAAAGTCTAGTTCCGTAAACTTTTATGAAATGACTATGACCTGGACGACTGAGAATCTTCATCAGCATATATATATATATATATATCAACTTTCTGAGATGCTTTATCTCAAGCAGTGTCATTAGGGGTGCTGGTGCCTATCTCCAGCTGCCTACGGGCGAGAGGCAGATTAATATTTATCAGTAATATCCATCCATCCATTTTCTGACACCCTGCGGGGTCACGAGGGGTGTTGGTGTGAGGGGTGCTGTCGAGAGGCGGGGTACACCCTGGACAGGTTGCCAGTCCATCGCAGGGCAACAAAGAGACAAACAACAAGAAGAGAAGCCAATTAACCTAACAGTCATGTTTGTGGACTGTGGGAGGAAGCAGGAGTGCCCGGAGAGAACACACGCATGCTCAGGGAGAACATGCAAACTCCATGCAGAAAGACCCGCAACCTGTCAGAAACCTGAATGACTCCGCTGACACTCTACTACAGAGAGAAGCACATGAGTTTCTCTCTGTATAGACGGTGCAGTTTGGGTGGAGGAAGGGGAGGGGGCGGGGGAGGAGGGAGAGGAGGAGGAGGAAGAAAATGATTATGAAGAAGTTAGTGGGAAGCGCTCAGCAATTACAGTCAGTGTGAGCTGCTCAGTCAGTGAGCGCTGTGACCGAGCAGAGGCTCCCATCTTCACCCAGAAACCTTTCGGATTGTTTTCGTTTTCGTTGCATGTCAGGAGCGAAACGGGAGGAAACTTTCTGAATGGAGAAGCACAAAGGTAGGCGGAGGGCTTGGAGCTTTAAGTTTGTATGTGTGATGAGCTTTAGAGTTGAGGACAACATTTTCTCATGAACTGTGAAGTGGCTGCACTGGACTGTGTGCGGGGCTCCGGTGGTGGGAATAACAAAAACAACATGGGGTTTATTATTTTAAGTGCATTCGAGTTAAAACAAACCAAACGAATTTTACAAAATGTCAAATCTGCACGTGAGAGCATTTGCAGGTGTTTATATATATATATATATATATATATATTTGTATAACTTTTTCAGAACATCTGGATACTTGTTTCTGTTTCATTAAATTAGTCCAGGTTATTTTTTAATTTAGAGATGGAAATATAATTTGCCATTTTTAGCAGAAGGAAAATAAATTACCCTAACTGATTACAACTTAATGATTTTTGATAGTATGCCAGTAACTTAGATTTCCCATTGACTCACAAATTTTCTTTAGTTTTGAAAATATCTAAACATATTTATTAATAAGGGTTTTTATAGAATACTGCTGTTTTTGTCCAGCTAGTAGGAGTAGGAGTCCCTTTATAACAAGCCTAGAAATCCCACAAAACTACACTCTTTGATGCATAAGTCTATAGCTAGACCTATTCAGACTTAGTGTCATCCTCCTAAACTCGTACATTCACTACTGACTTTAATTTGCACCAATCAAATTGAAGAAGCATTTGAGTTAGAGTAATTAATCTGTTTAGCTCTCGTTAATTGGCTGATTGAAGCCTTAATAGCTGCTACAATAACAACAAAATCCTATAGGCAAGATGCTTTGGTTGACTTGGTTCAATAGCAAAACCCCACTTACTATTATCTGAATATACTAGATTAATAGTGGCACCAATTGTGCTTGAAATAGTTCAAAAGTATAAATTGTATACATTATACTAGCTCACAAAATTAAGGGCCACTAATAAACTGGTTTGTAACAAAAATCTCACTATTTGGTATGAGATTAGCACTTTAACCTCTAGTATGTGACAAAACATGACCTTAGTAGGCAATATCAATTAAAAGTTATTGATTTTTTTGTTTTTTATCTAGTACACCTAAACATTGACTTAGCGTGGGAAGATGTGGGACTAGTATATCATAAACAAGAGTTTGTAGGACAAAATCACAGCTCAACGAAGATCAACGATGTATAGTGTATACACAAATTGTTTGCCATACTGCTTCACTTCATATCTTTGTTTTCCTTGGAGTACATTATGCATCTCAGATGGGTTTGCAAAATAGCTTATATTGTGGCCACTGATAAATTCCAAAAGCCCTAACGTCCATTCTCACTACATTCCTTAAATTCCTGTGGCTATTTGTTCATTAGGATAAGCAGTGGGAATCTAATACTTCCCTGTTAATGTTTGAGTTGGGTTTGCTCAAATTACATTTGTACTTTAGTACATTAGTGTATTTATAAGTATGTCTATATATAGAAAACCAATTAATATCCTTTGCATACATTTTGTAAGTTTAAATTGTAGGGATCCAGTGTGGATCCCCTGCTTGTTCTGGTCCACATGCACAGCAGAAGCAACTTCCTAAGGATGGGAACAATACACACCAGTCAAACTGAGAGTGGGTCAGCAAAGTTTTCAAGAAAACAGTCTTTCTGCCACATTCCTGCTCACCAGCTGACCGCAGCTCAGCCTGTTTACTCCCACTTTCTCTCAGAATAAAATGTTCATGTTAGAAGAACCCAAGGTCAGGGATGTTCTTTGTATGTATTCCTATATGAGGATTTTTAATTATCCATTTCCTTGGCGTTGGCTATTAATACGTTGATCAAATTGAGTAAAACAACAGTTTTTTTTTCTTTCTTGATGAAGTACGAGTTTCTAAGAAGAATTATATTCATGAAACAAGTGTAATGTAGTGACATAAACAACAGCAAAGAAGCACCAGCAGTTTAGCTATCTTCTATTTTCCATCCAATCTGAGAAAATGCATTGATCAGCAGAAACTGATGCAGATAATAACATGTTAAGCATGGCACACAACAGGTTTTATTGCATTTAAAGGATTTTATGCATTTACACACTTACAGCTTAGCCAGATTTAGGTTACCGTAGTTCTTCACTCATACCTTACATATGATGCTCAGATGAACACTGCAAACTTTCACCACAACCTGTCTGGAACCCAACCTTGAAAATCCTAAATTAGACAAAAAATATGATCTCGATGTATCGATTAGTATAATAAAGATCAAAGATATATTTCGGGGACGTTGTCGCTCTGTTCTTTATATTTTTTCTATTTTCTGCGCTATGACCTGAAAGGGGATTGAAATTACCAACTTTTAAAGTTTTAATAATGTCATCATTAGCTTGGTGGAAAGTATTAATAAAGACAGGGCAATGATTGTGTCTGTCATCCTGAGGAGCAGAATAATTGCTGTAAGGGGGGCTTTAAATCATTCTTCTGTTCTCAGCTAATACTGTCTCCTAAATACCACACGCTTTCATCATCACCTTGCATTAGAATACATATTTTAATCAAAACAGGTTCAACCAATATTGTGGTAGTTCTTGATCGGGGTCTAAATGTAGGTCACAACATAAAAAAATGAGGGTGCTTTCACATCATTCATTTCACCTTTTTTTTATTTTTTTTTTTTAAATAGACCATACTTGGTCTTGTTAGGTCTTAATTTAGGTGTGGTGAAAACAAGCAAGCTTCGGGCAGCTTTAGAGGCAGTGTTTTGGTTTACTTGCAAGTAAACCCTGCAGCAGTTTGCAGAAAGCAAATTGACTGTCTAGTTAAACCGAAAAAGAAAACCTGTTTCTATATGTATGTGCAGAGGTGTAGCACCAAACTCTGGGGCCTGTCATTTGACCTCTATTCGTGCCAGTGCATGGGGAAATGTATTTAAAATGAAAAAGCATATTTAGGGTTTTGAGCTACAATCAGTTCAGATTGTTTTAATGAGTTTTATATATTCAAGACTAAGACTAATTGAGGGTGAGGGTAAAGACCAAGATCAAAATCCTACAACCTATGTCATAATAAAACGTAAACAGAATCAAAGTCCTTCTCAATTTAATCTGGAAGATCCACATCACCATAAACACTACAAGAAAATAGACACCCAGAGCTGAAAAAAAATTTAATTTCCATATTTAATACTTCTTCTAGTTTTCAATTGTCTTTTTTATTGAAATATTGATCAATTTGAGCCAAAAACTTAAATTTTCTTTTACTAATTGCTTTACTTGCTAAATCAAAGAAAGTAAACTGTAGCTCACTTTACAAACATAAATTATGGCTAAAGGAAAAGGCAAAAATTAAACAGAAAAAGTTTGTCTTCATCACATGGCCATAAAGTAAAAATATGCAACCAAAATAACATATTTTAAGTAAAAATATAATATTATTAATTTACTTTGGAGAAAGATCATTTTATTATTTAATGCATTTGATTTACCATCTGAAACCTAAAGGTTAGAAGGAGCTTTGCAGCAATTATTTGTTTACCATCCGTGGATTACCAGGCAGTTTGTGTGTTAGCAGGTCCTGACATTTAAGTTTTGGTCGAGCAAAAGGAGCAAAAGGAGAATATAACAGTTTCGTCAGAGGAGTGACTCAGGTTACAAGGACTGCACCTGGGAGTCATGGACTCTTAAGAAAGAATGGGTGTGTTATAGCTGACGTAAGGAATGGACTGTGCTAGTTTGGCAGCTGTAAGCAGCAATGACGCAATACACTTGACACTGAGATCTACAGGAATTTAATGAAAGACATAACTGTACAGTGAAACTTGGCGGAACCCATCAGTGACGAGGAAATCTTAAGTAGCTTAATGTTTGCATCTGGCACCTGTTATTTTATGGTAATGAGTTAAGCACCATGTAGTGTTGCAAGATTTAAAAATGCATTATTCTTTATTGCTAAAATATTCCCTTTGCATTGTGGCAGTTTCTATTTCTTTCATATGATAAAGGTAAAAAGAATCAGCTGCATTGAATACAAAGGCCTTAATGTTTGTAGGCATGGGGGAGCAGCTATATTGCTCACCTATGCATTTTAGCGCTGTGGCAACTATCTGGAGATGTTTCAGTTATAAGATATGCATTTAGTTTAATTTGAGCTAGTTACATTTTATGCTGCAAATGAATGACACTTGTTATTTCAAGGCAATGTTAAAAATAGCTATTTTATTTATATGCAGAAGTAATCAAATTAATCTATTCCTATGGAAATTTTCACTCCCAATTACATGCATTCAGAATTAACAATATAATTATACAATGTGGTCAAATCCTTTATATTTTACAATATAACCAAAGTTTTCCCTCTAAGAAAGGCCACTTATTCATCCACCTCATTGAATTTGGGTCTTAGTTAGGCTTGGGAACCAAAACACTTCAGTTAAGATGCATGTTTCTGTTTTTTTTTTTTTTTGTGCTTTTTTTATTTAAGGCTTGAAGTTGTATATTCAGCTTACACTGTCTATTTGGTTTTACCGAGGAACAGTTAACACTCCTGTCTGCTGCCTTCTGTTCAGAATCATTTTGTGGGGAACTAATTGAAATTTGATTGTCCCCCTCAGAGGACTGACGTGTACCACAAAAGTTTGCAACTTTGCAATTCAGTTGGCAAAGAAAAGACACTGAATAGTTTATCCTGGTTCCAGGATAAACTGTCAATTATGTGCATAAATTTTATTGCGTAATATGTGCTTTTTAATATTAAGAAACTCCAATTGCAAAACATTTTTTGAGAATAATAATAATTCCAATTGTATGTGGAGATCCCTTAGCTAGCTTTGGTCAGTCACTTTAATGTTAAGATGATATGGTGTTCCCTGTTGACCCCTCAGGCCTGTAGGCTACTGGTATAAGCCAAAGTCTGGTGGAAAGTGGAGGCTGAGCTATTGAACACTAGTCTTTCCAAGCATCTCATTGGGAGCAGAGGATTTTGGTAGTTGATATAATAAAAGCAGAAATCTCCTGTTAAATTAGGGGTCTTTTTTTATTCTACAGTT